AGCAGGAAGGTCGGTGCAGTATCACACCGACAGCCAGGCCGCAACCCTGTGTGTGCTAGGCATGAAAGGGCAGGGCCCGTGCCTGCAGCGAGTAGACGAGCTGTACATGAAGTGCGCGGAGTGGGACTTGGAGGTCCAGCTAGTCTGGCACCCCCGCTCGGAACAGCAACAGCAGTATGCAGACACGCTCTCCAAGTTCGAAGACAGCTCGCAGTGGTGTTTGGACGACGCGGTGTTCGCAAGTTTGTGGGCGGAACCATGCCTGCAGGGAAGCAGGCCTACGGTAGATGTGTTTGCGGACGAGTTTTCTACGAAAGTACCAGGACGCTTCTTTGCGCGTTATTGGAGCCCCAACGCCCTAGCGGTGGATGCCTTCACTCAAGACTGGGGAAATTACAGAGACTTAAATGCTCGCAACAACGGTGGTACGACAGCAAGTGAACTCCAACATACCGAGCATCTGCGCAATTCAGTCCCTCTCTCTCAATATCATTTTAACGTCTCTTCGCTAAGGTAGCGAGTAGAGACAACCAAGAGCCAGCCAAACTACACCCCTCCCTTTCCCCCCCCTGGTGTAGTTTGGGGTGGGGCGAGCGACAAGACCACACAACCAACCCCCCTAGAGGTAACGCCCTGAGACCCCGGCATCTAAAGTAAATCGTCCTAGCAATCGCAAGACCCGCTAAGGCGAGAAGCAGGCACTCAGTTGTGGGGCCGCACATTGCGGTCGTGACGATGAGGATCAAGGTATCGCTCCAGCACCGCCGGAGTCCGAAGCTGACTGAACTCCATCAGGGCGGGAACTCCCGCACCGGCCGACGCAGCGGCCTGCAGGGCACCACGGCGGAAACTGTGCACAGTTTCCCCGTCGTACAACTGAGCAGCCCGCAGGTGTAGCCGTAACCGCGCGGCAAGAGTGGCGCTCTGCAGCGCTTCCGCCTTGAAAGCCCGCTGGTCCGCCGTCAGCGGGCGAAACAGCGTGTCTTGGACAGCGCTCCCAGGGGGGGCACCAGGCTGGGCACAAGACCACATGTAAAAAGCCAGAGTACGCGGAATGCAGAAAGGGGGGTCCTCACTGTTGGGCCGCAGCAGCACCGCGGGGCCAC